ACTAATTTCATTTCTCGATATAGAAAAAAAAAAGTGGGTGAACGAATTTTTATTAATTTTTTTCGTATCACAACTTAAATGTTTAACAGCACACACCCCACCACTCTCATTAATATAATTTTAAAAAAATTAATTTTCATTTTTAAATGGTAGAAAGAAATATATTTTTAAATTCTCAATAACTAATTATTTTTCCTTTTTTAAAAAAATTTTTTTTTTAATACCTTTCTTAATAAAATTTATATTATCCAAATACCAAATTTATTTTTTTTTTAAGTTTTTTTTTTATTTATCTTTTATTAAAAAAACTAATTTTACAATATTTATAATATATTATTATATTAATAATGTATCATTAATTTTTTTTCTTTTTAAATATAAAAAAATGTATATAAATAAAAAAATATAAATAACTTTTATTTTTTATTATTCGACATACACAGAAAATTAAAAAATAAAAAATTATATAAATAAAAATATTATTTAAAAGAGATATGAATCCAAGAGAAAAATTAGAAAATCAATTTATTTTAAGAAAACGTATCATATTTGAAAATGTATTTAATATTATCTAAAGATTCAATTGCTTTAAAAATAAATGGAATTCATCAATTCAAAGACATTTTGATTCTTTAACTCTCATCATTTATCCATACAATTTATCAGTTAGGAAGGAAAGAATTAGAAGATTAAAATATGAAGTAAAGAGTATCAATAGCTAAAAAAGAGATGAATATGAACCTGAAGGTATCAATAACGAAGAAGTACTAGAATTGGATTCTGATTCGGTTCCAGACCCTGGCCTTAAAGAATATATATTAGAACATAATAGAGAAACAATTAATAAATCAAATTTTGCAGATGGGGGCTGATGAAAATGATGATAGTGTTATGGATAATGATGAAATTGATAGATATGGGGAATGGATTGTAAACATACATTAAAAAAAAAAAAAAAAAAAAAAAAATTTATTATTATAAAATAAAAATTTATTAAATTTATAAATAAACACATCAAAAAATCTTTCTTCTTA